AAGTTTATCCTTCAAATTCCATTAAGTTTCAGGGGTGGGGCTGATTGTTTGATTTGGGGTGGCACTCGGGATGGCCTCTTTTCAGTTAAGAGTGCGTATACAGTTGCTCTTTCCACCCTTTTTCAGCCTTCCCCTGCCCCTCGTCTAGCAGGCAGTAGTTTTGATGCTTTGCGGGGTCGGATGTGGAATGAGGTGTGGCGTCTTCAGGCTCACAAGAAGGTCCAATTGTTCATTTGGCAAAGTCTCCACGATCGGATTCCTGTGAATAAGGAACTTTTTCAAAGGAAAGCTTCTGCTTTTCCTTTCTGCGCTTATTGTGGCTGTCATGATGAAACGGTTGACCATCTTTTGTGCACTTGTCCATTTGCTTCCAAGGTTTGGAAGTTGAGTCCTTTTCGTCTCGATTTCAGCTCTGTGCAACCTTCATCTTGGCCGAAACAATAGGTCAAGCTGTGTGATAAGTGGCGGTCAATGGCGGAATCGGCTGAATGTTGTGGTTTGGCTGCGTTTATCTGTTAGTCCATTTGGAAGAGTATGAATGATCTAGTTTTTCATTTTTCTAGATAGGACCCTCTTGAGGTGGCTCAGATTGCTCTACGCGACTTTAATGAATTTTTGGAAGTGTCCAAGCAAAACATCCTTTTGCTTATTCCCTCTCTTCTTCACGTTCAATCTACGGGGTGGTGTGCCCCTCCACCGGGCAGTCTCAAACTTAATTTCGATGCTGCTTATAATCCCACATCTCAGCTCTGTGGTGGGCGGATGGTTCTGCGTTCTTATTTGGGCCATCCAGTTAAGCTAGCATCAGTTTTCTTTCGCCACGTTTGCAGTCCAGCTATGGCTGAATGCCTGGTCTTGAGGGCGGCACTCCTTTTATTACATAGTTGGGGTTATTTTTCAGTGATGGTTGAAGGCGATTGTAGATCAGTTCAGCTTCTTCTCCCATCAGAGGCTTCTATGTTGATGGTTTTTTAGGACATTTCATTTCTTCTTTTGGCTTGCCCAGGCTCTTCATTAGCTTGGACTCCTCGTACAGGAAATAAGGTCACTCATTTAATGGGTAAAAAGGCTCTTGTAGCTGAATGTGGTGATGTGGAATGGAGCATATGGCCCCCGTGGTTGTTAAATGCTCTTCTCCCAAATTATGTTTCTTATCCTTTAGTTTAATCTATGAGTGTTGGTTTGAAAAAAAAAAAAAAAAAAAAAAAAAAAAAAAAAAAAACCTTACCATGGACCTTATTGATTGATTAAATTGTCAATTTATTGCTATATTTATTTTGTAAAAAAAAAGTTAATGCAAGTGGATGGACTTTATTCAATTTTGGTCCTACCAATTTATAAAAACAGACTCAACATCTTCACGTATAGTGCATTTTCATTTGTTGGTGTATCAATGACTTGGTGTACTCCGCTGTCCCATGTCTACTCCGAAAAAAAAAAAGAAAAAAAAAAAAAAAAAAGGATAGTTTTGGGTAGATATGGCAATTTCCTTCGACTAATGGGTTTCTTCCCCGCCCCAGATGGGTTGATTTAGTATTTTCCTAAATGTGTTTGGGATGAATATAATAAAATAATTGAAAACTCGAAGTGGGTTTGAGGAGGGGGCAGGGCAGATTTAGTGATGAACCCGCCCCGACTCTGTCCCGATTATATAAGTACTTTTTAATTTTTTTTATATATAAAATATATATTCAATATTTTTAAGACTCCTGAAGTGTCTTTTAATATATTAATATTTATTATTTAGTAATTTAAACCATGTAATAATTTATTGTGTCAGAATCTCAAAGAATTTTTTAAAATTAATTCACTATTATTATTATTATTATTATTATTATTATGATCCGATGAAAATTATCCAATAGTCTTTGTTGAAGTATTTCCATTATTAATACTTTTATTTCTACGTTTCGCTTAAAGCTTAAAAATTCCTAATCAGCAAAACAATTCAATAATTTAAACAATTCATTTTTATTTTTATTTTATTTTTATTTTTATTTTTATTTTATTTTTATTTTTATTTTTTCGCTTATCATCATAAATGAAAATTAGAAACAAGCTACGAAGGACACATATGTGGTACATTAGAATGTATGACAACAATAATTTAAACATTGACTGAAATTTTATTTAAAACTTTGAGAATTTGTAAAATAAGGAATTGAATTTTTTGAGATTCTAATTTACTCTTTTCTACTAATATATTTTTCTTTATTATAATAATAAATTTTTTGTAACATTATTAAACAAAAAAAAAAAAAAAAAATCCCAATATCAGTGTTTATTGTTTTCGGAGTTTGCAAAAATTTTGTATTCTTTAGTTTGCATTTTATTTTATATTTTTTTATTTTTATCTTTACTTTTCTTTTATATTTTTATACTTTTATTTTATATTTTTATCTTTACCTGTTTATTGCCAGCCTCCTATGTCATTTTCGGTCATTTTATAAAATTATTTATTTTATATACTTTATAAAATGGTTCAGTAAGAGTAATTTAGTCAACGCAGGGTTTAAATTTGTCAGAGGGACCTATTTGTATCAGATTGAAACTTTAAGGGTGTTTTTTGCACGAGAGGGGCATCCACTAATTATTTCTTTTTGGTCATTTTACAAAATTATTTATTTTTATATATTTTATAAAATGGTTTAATAAGGGTAATTTAGTCAACTTAAGGTTTAAATTTGTCAGAGGACCTATTTGCACCAAATTAAAACTTTAAAAGTATTTTTTACACATGAGAGATGTGATACGCGTGTTTTCTATACTTGACCCAGTATAAAAACGACTAAACATCTTCACCCATGTTCATTAGTTATTGTATCAATGACTAGGTGTATATTTACTCCCGAAAAAAAAATAAAAAATAAAAAATAATTGTTTCAGGACCATTGGTCTTGACCGATCACTGCTAGACAGTACGTAAAAACTTATACTACTTTTAAAAATATAATTATTTACGTGTCCAATGAAAATTATCCAATAGTGAGTGCTTCGTTGATACCTCTTTGTGTCTTTCCCAAAAATGAAAATATCATCTTGGTAGATTGTTTTTGAAAATGAGAGAATTCAAGTCTTTTAGGGTTACTCAAATGTACAATGGATGATGGTAACTGTGTCATAGCAACTCCTTTCATATAAAGGAATTTTAAGCGCTTCATTCTACAAAAAATGTTGTTTGGAACATTTTTAAGCTTTTTGCACCCCGTTAGAACTAAACTCTCTATCCCATTAAGATGCTCAATTGATGATGGTAAATTGTATATTCCAGTATTCCATAACCTAAGATACTTCAAACGATCCATATCCCCTTGAATCTCTGGCAAATTCTCTAGTTTTACGCATCCTGACAAATCAAAATATTTCAGATTTTTCAACTCAATGCTTCTTGGCAAACTACTCAGTTTTATACATTCGCTGATACACACATGGACAAGCCTGCTGTGAACTCCGATGGAAAAGTGAACCTTAACTAAATTTACACATTCTGTAAGATCTAAATACTCAAGACATGGGAGACTGGACAAATCAGGAGTTTCTTTCAAATATGGGCAGCGACAGAGACAAAGCAATTTTAACTTATTTGAAGACTGCAAAGAGAATAAGCGAATGAAACAAATAAATTAGTTTCAATAAACTCAACGGTACTAATCATGTGCATGTGTAAGTAAGTGCGTAAAAAAACTGTGATGATCTTACGCTGATTGCAGTTGAAATTTGTTTGATAGGGCTACATGGAAGCTGAAATTCAACAAGATTTTGTGGATGGAAATTGGATGGCAGAAAACCTAGTGGATAACTATAACGGGTGGGCGCTTGCCCATTTATCCAAAAGCTCGAACTGTTAGGTAAGGCTGCATACCCACCCATTTATACCCAATCTCTTTCCCATCCGAGACAAAATGACCCTTATTACATTCTCCCCCACCCAAACTCACAACGCCCTCGTTGCGGTTGGGCCACCCTGCCTACCCGGGTGGACTCACCCGGACGCCTTTCGGGCCGGGCGCTTGGCGTGGCACCGGATCAAGGACTGGGTTTGGCTCTGATACCAATTGTAACGGGTGGGCGCTTGCCCATTTACCCAAAAACTCGAACTGTTAGGTAAGGCTGCATACCCACCCATTTATACCCAATCTCTTTCCTATCCGATTTCGATGTGGGACAAAATGACCCTTGTTACAATAACCATCCCAAACAAGATAACGTAATTCATTTGACAGATATGTAAGCTGTCGACAAAGCCATACGCCACTAAGTTTTAACACTCTTAGTTTCTTCATCTTTGCAAAGACATCAGCATTTACAAGTAACTCCTCTGATAGATGGCCATGAGGCATGTTTAGCATAATGCCTTTAATTGCTTTGGTCGCCCGATTACCAAGAACAAGATATAAGTTACCAAATTACATTAAAACCTAATTAAAAATAAAAGTATACAGGTTTACAAGTGCTTATATGAAAGAAGATAAAGCAAAGTCTATCTTTTGTAAACTACTTGAAAAAACTTATATGTAGTTAGAACATACCGTATCCTCTCTGAGTACTTCATTGATATCTTTAAGAGACCACAACCTACTGCGTTTACCAGGATCATCAGAAAATTCTTTAAGAACAATTTCTCTACCCATTTCTTGTATCACATTATACATACTCAATCTTTTGCTATCCGTGATAGTTAGAAGTGACCGCTCAATAAGAACAGGAATTCCACTGCGAGGGGAAAAGCCACAGCTTTCCAGTAAATCCGTAACATATTCTTTTTTCCATCCATTGAAAAAACATGCATTATCGAGAAATATATTCTTACAATCCATATCACCAAGGCCATCAAAACTCAGTTGAAGAACATCTTGAATTTCTTTGTTTGGGATTCTTTTAAATTTATCCAATTGACTTTTCCACTGTTGTTTACTTCTTTTATATAATAAAGAATCCAAAACTTGAAGAGCTAATGGACGGCCTTGGGCATAACCTACCACACTCAATGAGAGTTCCACTTAATCCTTTTCTGGATGGTTCTTCATGAAGGCATGCCAACTAATAAGTTGAAGAGCTTCATTGTAATTCGAAAGCTCAATCCTATATGGTACATGATCAACTTTATTCTTTACCAACAAACATTCATCTCTTGTTGTTATGATGATCCTACTTCCAAATCCAAACCAGTTCTTTCCTACAGCTAAATTTTTTAATTGCCTCACATCATCCACATCATCAAGAACTACAAGAACCTTCTTGTGACAAAGTCTTTGCCATATCAAATTGATTCCATTGTTGACATGGCATATCTTTATATTTTCTTCCATTAGATGCCATTCAAGAGTTGTTGTTGGAGAAAAGTTAAACCATGATTTTTTGAATCATCTTTCACATTGAGGAAATGATAACTTTCAAATTGATCAAATATTTGATTGATAACAGCTTTGGCAATGGTTGTTTTACCAGCCCCGCCAGTTCCACAAATACCCACAATGCGCACATCTTGTAACCCAATGTCTAGCAAATTGATTACTTTTTCCACGCGAGATTCTATACCCACTTCATACCCGGCAACATTAAATGGTAGATGCCCCAATATTTTTAAAGTTTCTTGAACAATTTTTTTGATAAACCTTGCCTCATGCCTATCAAGTACAAAGCACATTAAAAGAATCAAGTTGGTGCGATTGTAGTAATAAGAGAAACAAAACAAAAAAATTACTATAATGGATTGCTCTGTCAATTATAACTTACGTATACATAGGTAAACAATAACAAACAACTAAATTCATAAATCAAATCTTAGAACTAGATTAATAAATTTTAAAAATGTTGATAACTACATGACAATTATAAAGATAAGAGTGGGAAAATTTACAGAACTAAGTCATATACCATTTTGAAAAATTCTATATAGGTTTCATGATGGATGCGCAAATGATCCTAGTAGCTAGGCAGCCAAAAGCTAGACTACCTCGTGCTAGGATTGAGGAGAAATACATTAGAAAATAAAATGAATACACCATTTTGAACAACCTGTAATGTCTGTGTCTTATTATAAATATAAGTGCATATGCGTATATATTTGTGTGTGTGTTAAATGCAAAAGAAAAAGAGAAAAGAAAAGAAAAAAAAAATGGTGGGACCCACCATTAAACCAATTAAGGGCCATTACAGACCCATTTTACGCAATCGGCTTCTCTCTCGGCCAGTGCTCTCTCTCGCTGCCGTTTTCTTTTTCTTTTTCTTTTTCCTTTGCAATTTCAACCTCTGATTAATTCATCATTTCTTAGTATTTTTAAGTGTCGTTTGCGACAAAACGGATAGCACGACGAGCTCTACATGTGTGTACCAGCAATTTCAGTTTTGAGCAACCTAGGGAGTCCGAAAATTGAGACCCATTTTGAGGGTTTGAGGTGAAAATTGGGGGTTTTGCTTAAAAGTGAGGTAGGGGTTCTTAATCCATACAATCTTGTGCTTTTGTGAGTTAACTCCTCTTGAATTGTTGTTTAGCATGATTAATTTATATAGAATCTAGTAAATTGTTTGGTTATTGTGCATATATGTTAATTGTATAACTATGTGTATCAAATGATCTATGTGAAGAGCATGCCTAAGTGTTGATTTTCAAATGCCTATCATGATAGATTTTTTATTGTGTGAAAGTATGTTGTAATTTTCTTAGAAATTCTTGTGAATCATGCTTTGTTAATTAAAATTGAGTTAGTTGTGGGATGATGAACATGGACATGGCATAGAGGCATCCATGTACTAACATTGGGCATAAAAATGGGAAAAATTGTTTTGAAATGAAAAAGAGGAATTTTGGGAAGAAGTTTTGTTTAAAGTGTTTTGTGAAAACCCGGTCGCTAAGGGAGTACCAAAGGGCCAGAGTGTTAATATAGCCTAGAGGGAACTAAAGAGATTGCCCTAGTGTGGTTGAGCTAGCTAGGCCCAAAATGACGCCGCGGGGGTACCAAGGGTCAGGGACACTAGCCAATCCTTCTCTCGTGTCGCTGTGGGGTCACTAAAAGACGGGTTATATTAACAATTTGAAAGTGATGGATTTGAATGTTGAAAATAGGGAGCGACATCGGCATGCATTACATTTCATAACATTATATTCTGTATGCTAAGATTGGATTTAATGTTGTACTTTCCCGACATAGTATGACCCCGATTCCTATTGTCTTATTCCTTGTTTGGATTCACGGGGACACAAGACGTGTGTCTTAGACACCACCTACTGAGTAATTTTGCTCACCCCTTTTATTTAATATTTTTTTTCAGGAAACGGAAAAGAAGTGGCGAATGATATTCTACCACAGACTTAGTATGGATTAGGAGCTTATTTTGTTGTTTTTGTACTTGGGTCTCACTATTTTTGTAAGACTAAGTAAAATATATTTTGTACGACGACTTATGGACTTTTAATATTATAATTATACCTATGGACTTGTAAAGCATGGACATTTGATATTAATCTTGTATTTTGGGATTATAATTATGATATCTTGATGATATAGTATGTGGTTGTACCATCATCGAATGAATTAAGTTAAGGAATGATGAATGGATGAAAGGGATGCTGGAATTTATAATATGTTTATTGTGTTGGGACAGGTTAAAAATGCATTTAAGCAGGTTATCGTAGGACCACTTTTTAGCGGAGGTCATGCTAAAAAATTTTCTTTTAATTTTGGCATTAGTTAGGGTCGTTACAAATTTGGTATCAGAGCAGAGATTCGAAAACCATTAGGACGACGGGTAGAGGCCTACATAGGGGTTGCATGGGAAGTCGTTTGCATAGTTTATGTGATTAATTGTTAAAGTGTTTTGCTATATGTAAAAGCATGCTTAACTGTTTACTTGTTTACGTGCTTACGTGTTTATGTGCTTATATGCTTATATTAATGTGTTCATTGAATAGTCTTGCATGCTAAGTGTTAGTATAGTGTCCTTTGGTGTTGAGTTGTTCGTGGTTGGACCTTAATGTTATCATTATTGAACCGTTTTCTTTGTTTTATAGAACGATGTCAAGGCATGAAAAACCAAGAGAAGTTGGCCCTAGGCCAACAAGGGGTGATGTTGGCGAGAGCTCTAGCTCCAATCCGGCGGAGCCAGTTGATGAGGACACACTTCTTAGGGATTTGATTGCCCCAAGAGTTGTTCCTACAAGGACGGATAATGTTGAAGCACCCGTTGAGGAGGGTGAAGGTTCGGCGGAAGTAGTATTGGATCGCTTGTTGCAAAGAGCCTTTAAGGCTACAATTGCTACACAGCCGCAGCCGATACTGCAGCCGGTGCCACAACCAGTAGTTTAGGTGGAGGAGACGCCAGCACAAAAACGTCTCAAGATTATTAAAGGGTTTTCTTAGTTAATGCCAGTGATGTTCGAAGGTGGTGTGGATCCAATGGAAGCGGATGACTATATGGATCAAGTTGAAACTCAATTGACTTCTATGGATGTGGCGGATGATCACTTGAAAATTATCCTAGCCACTTACAAGTTTACAAAGGATGCCAAGTTTTAGTGGAAATCAGTCACAAATCAGTATAAGATTGAAGAGATGAGTTGGGATAGGTTCAAGGAGTTGTTTTATGAGAAGTATTTCCCTGCTCCCAAGAGATGGGAGTTAAAAGATCAGTTTATTGGCCTCATCCAAAGTAGTATGTCGGTGACAGAGTACGAGAACAAGTTCACTTCTCTTTCCCGCTTTGTTCCAGAGATGGTGAGTAATGAAATTAATAAGGTTCAGAAGTTTATCTCCAACTTAACTACAAGATGAGGCCATTATTAACAACACAGTCCATCAAGGTTTATTCTGAGGCAATAGAAAGAGCATTGATGCTAGAGGCGGAGGCCAAAGATAAAGATGCAAAAAGGGAACAGTAGAAACAAAAGAAGAATGCAAGGTCATTTCCAGAGGGACCTTCAGGGAAGAGGAACAGGGGTGGTTCATCTCAGTTTCAGGGGTAGCCATCTGCACGATATGCTCCTACCACTCCTTTGCCAGCTGGGTCTGGTAGGAGTGGAGTCGTTTGCTTTCAGTGTCAGCAGTCTAGACATTATAAGTCCAATTGTCCTATGAAATTGACTTCAGTTTCTTCAGCTTCAAGGGCTTGTTATAGGTGTGGCCAGCAGGCCACTTGATTCAAGACTTTCCGAGTCAGGGAGTAGGCACCACTAGTGGCAGAGGGTCACGGCAGAGGCCGTCACAATCGGCTACAGTTCGGTCAGGTTTTAAATCACCGCCACCACCACAGCTTGCCATGTCTTCTCAGGGTTCACGACTAGCTAGGAGGGATACTCCTACTGTGTCGGCACAGCATTTTGGTGTTCAGATTGGTAGTTCTCAAGCGCAGACACCGCAGGGACGTGTCTTTGCACTAGCACCGACTGATGCATCTCTTGGCTCGTCAGTTCTCCGAGGTATATTTTTAGTGTTTGGTTCTTGGGTCCGTGTTTTGTTTGACTCTGGTGCATCTCATTCTTTCATTTCATCATCATTTACACTTGCATCGGGGTTAGAGGTCAGTTTCATGGATCGGGCGTTGTGTGTTGATACACCAGTTGGGGTTTCAATGTCTTTGAGCTAAGTTGTGCGGGATTGTTTCATTATGATAGCCGGGTGGACCTTTGTGTTTGACCTTATCCTCCTAGAGATGACTAGCTTTGATATCATTCTCGGGATGGATTGGTTAGCTTCATTGCATGCTACGATCGACTGTTTTAGAGGTAGAGTCACAGTTTGCACTCCCGAGGGAGACTGTTTCTTTTTCGTGGGAGATCGGAGTGATTCCCACATTTCATCGTTTTATGGAGTTCGTGAACGAAGTCGTGGTGATTACTTCTTGGCTAGCCTTATAGCCGAAGAAGATGATGTTGTGGAAGAAGATTATCTTGTAATTGTTCGTGATTTTCTGGATGTGTTTCCAGAGGATTTGACAGAGTTGTCTCCACACCAAAAAGTGGAGTTTACTATTGATTTGATGCCCGGTACCGCACCAATTTCTATGACACCGTATTGTATGGCACCAGTTGAATTGGAAGAATTAAAGAGGCAGCTTGATGCTTTGAGAATGGAAGGTTTCATCCGACTGAGTGTGTCACTGTGGGGCACACCAATCTTATTTGCGAAGAAGAAAGATGGTTCTTTGAGATTGATTACTAGAAGCTAAATCGTGCCACCATCAAGAATAAGTATCATTTGCCAAGGATAGATGATTTGTTTGACCAGTTGAGAGGAGCCAGTTGTTTTTCAAAGATTGACTTAAGGTCAGGTTACTATCAGTTACGGGTTAAGAATGAGGATATCCCAAAGAC